TTTTCTACTTTGTTTTAATCGTGTGGGATCTTTTCCTCCAAAATATGACAAAATAAATTAAAATTAACCTCTACTAATTGCTCACCAGCTCTATACTAAAGGAAACAGGAAATGTTCTTCTGGTCCTGAAATTCACTTTTGAAATTTAAGTCACAGAAAGAAAAAGAAAATAAGACAAACAGAGTATTTTTCACCTGACAGTGGGAAAAAAAAAAAGATTTTGTATGCCGCAAACATGTAAATAAATATTAAAGCTTTACCCCATTTAAAATGCGTTTGGAATATCCTAGGCCATTAGTTAAAATGACAGAAGAACACAACTACCTGAAGCCTATGTAAAGAATCTCTCTTTAACAGGCTTTTAAAGATTGCAAGCCAGAGCATCTAAAAAGCACATCCCTGAATAATTTAAGGCTCCTGGCATCTACGCTTAAAGAGCTCCTTTGCTAAACCTGGAGGAAAAAAAAAAAAAAAAAAAAAAAGAGGTAAGAAAAAGAATAAAGGTCGTGAAAGATCAGCGACAAGATCACGACTAAAAAAGTATCTTTCCCATCTTAAAGTTTAATCAGACCTGGAGGAGCATAGATTTTACAGCCAGCCCTTCCCATTTACTGTCAACAGCTGTGATCTAACATTAACATTTACCCCTTGGCAGTGTTAAGGCTGTGATGGTCAGGGAAACAATACCGGAACAAAATGAAAGAGAAGGAAAAAAATCGATCAAGAAGGTGAAGCAAAGCACAAATCCTCATTAGCAGAAATTCAGAAACAAATAAAAAGCAAAAAGCTAGAGTTTATCGTGAATTTTAAATGGGTAACCTACATTTTAGGGCAAAAGAAGAGGAAAAAAATCCAAACTCTGGAAGAACAGATAAATACATACTATTAAAACAAAACAAAACACCGTTATTCTATTAAGACACTCGACAATCTAGTTTGGTGCAGAGTAATTCCCATTTGTAACCAATTCTACCAAGGTCGAATTAGAAATCAGTGTATTGTTGACAATACCAAGATTTCTCTGCCAGCTATATCCTTTAAACATCAGCAAAACCTACCTACTTCCGCTTGTGTCTGTCATAGAAACCATCCAAACAATGGTAGCAAGCAATCTTCACCTCAAGAGCAAACTGAACACTTCATTCATTTTTACTCCTAGATTGCAAAGTCCTTGCTGTTCTCTACAGTATCTGAAAGCCTCGCCACCGATTACAGCCAGTTCAGGATCTGGCTCCTCCTCAGTATATGAAAATGGGCTTGAAACAATAGGAAACCTTATCTGAGGAAGTTAACACAGGTCACCCTTCTCAACACGTGAATACTCACTCTATACCGACAGAAAAATAGGTTAACTGAGTCTTATAAATGAGACAAGAACTTGGAAAAAGTGTCTGATACAGAGTGCTGACTTAAAAGAGCATTCACGGTTTTGGAGAAACCCGTTTTGCATTTTTGCTTTACACAACTTTTCACATAATTTCTAAAAGAAGAGTGATTAGGAAGTCACTTGAAAATATAGAAAACAGGTCAGCTGAAGTGTAGAAGCAGATTCAGAATGGGCCAAAACTAACTTGCCTAACAATTTCCAAGCAAATGCCTGTAAAAGTATTTCATCCCTCTTTTTGTGATTTTTTTTTTTTTAAATGAGAATGGGAATTAAAGAGTAAGAAAAGTACACTAATTTAATATGCAATTGTGGTATTTTCCCAGTGTAATTGCAAGCTGAAAAAATATTTTTGATACAGGTTCTTCTCCCTTAGAACTCGAAAAATACACTCATTACAGAAAGCAGATGTCTACAAGAAACTAAACTGTAATTTATTTTTCAAATTTGATCTGAACATGCTAGTTGTTATCTACTTTTCGCTCACTCACTCTGAGCTAAATCTCAAAAAGGTTCTTTGTGACAGGTGTTCAAAGTTAAAGAAAACATTTAATAGAAAGGTAATTCAAGATGGACAAGATGGGGCTTTGGACACTGTGATAAAAAAGGAAGGTTTGGAAGTGCAGACATTTCTAAGATTGTTACAGTAGGAAGGACCTCTTTGCAATAGACATAACAGAGTAACAAAATAAATACAACTTTAAACAGGTAAACAAAAGTTGAAAGCATTAAGGGGAAGCTTGACACGCTGGATCCTTAGCTAGTAGAAATACGCAGAATTCCAGTAACATCAATAATATCACATGAAATTACATGGAGCTGTTGATCTCACTCACAGTATCTAAAGCCCACACCTAACTATACATATATATATATATATATAATGTTTGCTTTGTGAAAACTGACTGAAGTTTAATAGCAACTTGTAATTGAAATATTCATGGTCTCAAGCTAGCTTTGAAGTTAAATCCCTAAGTGGATAAAGTGGACAGTATATCTAATCTTAATTAAATGTTTCCCTTAGTTACTAATACCAGTGCAGTTTCACTAGTTAAAATCATTATTACAGAAAAGAAATGCAAAATCCACAGCATTTTGAGGGGCATTTAATCCTGCTCAGCACTAAGACACAACACATGATCTCAGCAGTATCAGTTCCTCTGCTACCTTCCACATCTTTGCTTCGAAAGATGAAGAACTTGGTGATTCTGGGCAAGAAAGTTTTAACCACAGTTTTCCGGCACTGCTACTGTTAACGTCGTTTCTTACAACTCCTTTCAATGGTACAAATTTCAATTTAAGACTACAATCTACTACAGGTTTAAAGCCCGTTTTTCAAGCAATGAAGCTAGGAATAAAATATCACTAATTTCTGTACCAGGACTGTAGACTCTAATAGTTTCAGTGGAGCACTTCAGTTTTCTTTACATGTTCTGCACATTACATACACATGCCCCTACCTATACACAGCTCCATAAATGAAATTTATGCAGCAAACCATGGTTTGGTTGCCTCTGAACTAAAGTCGCTGTGATCTCCTCCACTAGTTTACACTTCTTCCTTGACCATTTTTGGCTCAATTAGGTATATTAAATACTGAACCTATGAAAGCTTGCCCATCTTCTCCTATGTTTAATAAATAAATATTTTTTTTAAAACATTAATTAAAAGCAAAACCACCCAAAGCAGTCAAGTTTTTCTGACAGGCCACTGCCAGTGGCGGGGCAAGTACTGTACAGACTTACAGATTATATATAGTAAGTCATTATAATAGAGTTTGAAGGCAGGTTTGGATCCTGGAGAAAACAGTCACAATTGTGCTACTTCTGCAGCAGTAATTTCCCCACGGCTTTGGTTATGCTGATCTCCACTCCGGTTTCGCAGAGCCCACAGCTACATACATTATATCCAAATCTATGTCTGAAACTCAATAACCTTTGCCAGAGTAACTCTCCAGGAAGCTCCCCTGACCTTTACTTAAGATAAAGAAACCAACTGAAATGAAGAAATAAATGTTCCTTTGATAATACTGGGTAAGCTGTGGCTAAGGAACTTTGAAATACAACAGCGTTAATAAAAAAAAAAACATATTAGGAGAATTTCTTTATCATCAAAACCAGTGACCAGCTTCAATGGGGCTTTTCATTCACAGTTCACAAATTATTTTCCAAGAATCATTGACTTGTTGTATAACGATAATTGTGGGCTAATAGAAGCCCTAACTGAACTTTGTACTCTTACACAAAGGATGTATGTATACATGACTATATTTGGACACAGCTACATATGTGGGATAACGTATCTGATTTTCAACTTATAGAATACCTTTGGCCTTCATATTATAATTTATTTTCTTTTAAATAAATGCTTTGAAGCCAGAGGTGGAAAAAAAAAAAAAAAAAAAAAAACACCCTAGCCTGTTACAAAAGGCAACTTCTAAATTTTACAAGTGGGCACGATTGTTTGTTGGTCTATGTACAGAAACTTTGAGTAACTTCTCCCTCTAAACTCTTCTTAAAATAGTTTCTGAGAAACTGGAAAAAAATCCTCTACTGGTAAGAAAACTCTACCAGTCTGAATTGGTTTTTGCATTAAGGACTATTTTAATGCAATTCTTTCTTAATCTCTCTAATTTTAATCATAACATTTCAGTACACGAATGCTGTATTTAACACCTATCAGGTTTAGTGAACTTCATTAATTCACTTTGATAGAACAAATTATTTATGTTATTTAGCAAAATGGAAAAGCACTTATGCGCTCTGCTGCAATCAGCAGACACCGTTTAGAAGAGACCTCTGATAATGGAGAGAAGCCTTGTCATGAGGAAGAAAGATGCATAAGGAACCTCTGAGAAGTCTGTGATTTTGATAGATACTGCTTCTTGTGCCATTTCTTTACTATGTCCTTGCAACCACTCAAAACCACAGAACATCAGGTACAGCAAAGGGGAGACAGTGTTTAACTGAATAGTAGCACTTTAACAGGTAAAGGCAAGACCTGAGGAGTACAGGCTAAAAAAAGTAAGTTTGGGCACATGTTAAAGTAAAGTAACAAACAACACAAAGCATCCAGCTTAATGTAACTTCTGCTCCCTCCCACTGATTTGAAGGGAAATTGTTTACGAGCAACAAAATGCCACATGCTATGACAACTTAAAAATCCTTGAGCAGCAGTTGTATTTGATTACGTGAAAAGTTTTATTTATTTATTTATTTGTACACGAAGTGTACTGAGCAGCCCTATTTCTGCTCAGCAGAGCTGCCTCCTGTGTCCCACAGTGTCAGATCTGTACCAGGAAAACACACTTCTCTCCTCGCTCTACAGAGAAAGTCTCTCCACAACTTGTGTTTTTCCTCACTTCCGTGGCGCTGCAGTGTGGGAATTACAGGATAGCGCCCCAGCCCCCCCCCAAAGGTAACTTCATCCCAAACTTCTTTTGGATGCGCATCAAACTGCTGCTTGCTTTATCTGTTCATCGTGCTGATGTCAGCAACCAGCAAAAGGAGCTATCACATGACCGCAGATGACACAATAAATAACAAATATGAAGGCTCAAGTATAAATACACACAAATAAATATTTTTAAGAAAGTGATGATTCATACTGTACTTACAACTTTCAGCCTGATAGTCTGGCACAAACTGCTCGTCATTGTCAGGTACCTGAGCTGAAGAAAGGAAAACAAAACAAACAAAAAGAAGGAAAGAATTAAAAGAAGCCATTAAAGCATAAATAAAGACGCTTGTGCTTAATGTGAAGCACAACCAAGATTAAAACTAGGATTTTTTTTTTCTCATTGTTGAGTATGAAGATCAGGCAAGCGCATCATTTTAGTATCAGATAAACCCTGGGGTGAAGCTGTGCCTTGCAGTGCGGGCACAGAACAGTCCCAGCACAGAGCAACAGGGATGGGAAGATGTGAGGGCTGACACTGGCCCTGGCCCTGCCTCACTCCCTGCACAAGGGTCTGGACCTACCATGACACTGGTAAAATCCATCAGTGCTCATTTGCAAAATATCTGCGTGGAAAGTCTGCGCAAACCCAAATTGTAGCATTTACTATTTAGGCGTCTTTAACCCCTAGCTACCATGCTTTCCACTTACTTAAAAGCAATTCCAATTTTTCATGGCAGTCAGCCAACACAGTAGGGTTTTTTTGTTATTGCTTTAAATACTCAAAAAGAACTATTTCAGCAGACCACAGAATTCTGGGTTCCATGACATTTCAGACATCTAAAATAAATTTACTTAAAGCATGAATCATCATTAACATCCATTTCCCTTGTGTAAGATCACTTTTGCTTTTAGGAAACTTTCATTGCAAACCTGCGCTATCAAATACAATCATTTCACGGTCTTCTGATACATAATTTTGCATTTGTGATACCACAGCTCCTTTCCACTGTATATCTAAGACATTAGCCATCTCTCATACTGTGTTGTAAACTCATTTATACCATTTAAGCTGAAATACCACTGAATGTGTATTATAGATGAATACATCTGAATAACAGTAGAACATTACGCTGAGAAGCGGCATCCTCGGAGCATGACTGGTTCTGGGTACATCCCGAGAGAGATCCAGCTTATCATCTCCCAACTTTGTCATCTTTTCCTCTACATACACTAACTGGAATCATCACAGCAAAGCTGCATGAAATTATCTCTTTGAAAACACTTTAATTTACACAGTTCTTGTCTAAAAACAAGCAAATCGTTCATATGATCTTAATTAAAAGTCAAGATCTGCCATGATCTGGTTACCCAACAAGATTTGAGAGGTAAATACTTGTTATACAATCATTTATCAAAACTGTGTCTAGCAAACCATTAAATATATTAAACGATGAAATATAACTTTACTGCCTTTCAGAACATTTTGTAGTTTGCAAAGCATATGTTCCCCTTTATATATGTGCAATTGCTACTAGTTTTAACAGAATTTGTTTGAATTAAAAATACACATTTAATTGCTCACTATTATTTTGACTGTGCACTAAAGTACTCTTCATGGATCAGATCTCTCACTCCTTACTCAGGAAATATTTCTAGTGACTTAACTCAATTTTTTTTTTTTCTCTAGGTAAAGTTCAGAATCAGGTTCATGGTACCAAAAACTTTGGTTTTAAAATAAATGTTTAAAGTCCTTCTGTCTTAACTGTAGCAAACCCCTCTTAAGAACAAATGACCCTGGGAAATCCGCAAACATAGGTTTGAAAAGAAGTGTGAATAAGGTAAATACATGAACTGTAATTATCATTACTCTGGAAAAAAAAAAAATAGTTATTATTGTTTTGTTGTTTGGGATTTTTAATTAAAAAAAAAAAAATGACAGTAACCTGTCCTTCTGTAAAAAAACAGGGCCTCTGAGAATATGTTAGCTCCTCAAAGTCTGAAACCGTAAAAAACATGTAATTTACCAGTCCAAATATTCCCGATATTTTTTATGTATTAAATTCCCCTTTCCTCCAGAGAAACTACAGGACTTTTACTAAAATTGAACTCAGGGACAATATGAGCCCAACTACTAACACTCTGAAATTTCTGATATTTCATGTAATTTACTGCAGTTGAACATTAGGCATTTTCCTTACAAAACTGACAAATATTTGACTGTCACAGAAGAATCCAATTATGAAATCAAGGTATCCTACTGAAATGCCAGCTGCTAAGGATTTCTTACATCTCAAATTGTTTTTAAAGGGTTTGCAAGTACATTGAGAGTTAAAGTAACTATCAAATAATTTCTTGTTTACAGAAGACACATATCACACTTTCTTCTTAATCCAGCTATCATTCTCAAATGCAGCAAAGAGGTTAATATGACTCTAATTTTTTTATACACACACATGAATTTTTTTATATATACATATAGATGTTAATTTGTGAACCTGGGATATCTAAGAAAGGCTAAAAGGAAACAAAAACCCTGCTGTTGCCATCGGGAAGCTACATTTAGTGACTGCAGAACTGGGACAGCAATCTTATATAACTTTCTAGTGCGTACTCTGCATACCAGACCACTTCACCCACTTTTTATTCTTGTTTTATCAGTTTAACTTGACTTACTCCAAAATAAATCTGTTCTAGAGAGATACATATATAGCAGTAAATAAGGTCCATTTTTTTTCTGTCCGAAGAGTAAGAAAAAAATAAAATGCAACTGGTGGAATTATCATGGAAAACCAGTACATTACTTTAGAGATACTGTCATTACCACCGGTTTGGTCCAGAGTAAACAAGAAAAAAATACTTCATTCATGGATCACCAAAATTTATGAAGGTATATTTTATAGAGATCAAGATGCACCATGTTATCAGTACTCTAGAAATAGGTGGAGACTATGCTGTCAAAATGCATTTCAAATACAATACTGACATAGCCTTAAAATCTTCTGTAGGAAAAGAGATGTAGCAAGTTAAGAAGTGTTTAAAACCCTTCCAAATATAAACAAAACAAATGACAACATCCAAAATGTTCAACCCAGGAACATACACTTCCTACTGGAATCTAATTTTAGTAGCATCAGTACCTTAGAAACGAGCCCACAAGCCTATACAAAGAAATTAAAAGGACCTGGTAACTGTTGGAAATGAGAACTTAAATTATTCCTTCATTTAATCTGATGATATTATTTTTAAACTAGCAGAACTGAAACTTGCACATGATCATACTGCAGAAATGCAAGCAACCATCATCAATTGAATACGCAGAATTCTTCAACCAGTATCTTGTTGTATCAGGGCAAATCAGTAGGATACACGATCCCGTTACTCAAAGGGAAGAGGGCTTTTGTACCTTGAGTTTCAATAATTAGTGGCAGACTTTTTAGCAAATTAGACAGGTATAGACAACTCAAGCTGAATGTCCAAAAGGAAAATGTAACTTGCAATGCTGCAACTGCCTGCACATTTATATACATATGTCACTCATTTCCTCTTTTATTTTATTCACAAATACTGTAATTCAGCAAGGCTGCCATAAAATCTTCATTAGTTTTCTGTTAACATACTCAATGCAAGACAATGCATAAATCACCAAAACTTTTTGTATTTTTTTACTTTCCCATTCAGAGGAAAATTGAAAAAAGATACCTGAAATAATCATCTAACTGAATGAGAATATTTCCCTGAGCTACTTAATTATGAAGGTTTGAGAAAGCAAGTATATTCCAAAAGACTAATAAAAGGTTTTGAAGGAAATTAAGCACGTGGCTTTTACTGCTAATAGCAGAAGCAGCTAAGTTAGTTCATTCCACATTCAGATCCATCAAGTCTCAGACTCCTGAAGCAGACAACATCTGCAGCATAAACTATCCAACTCAGCCTAGATTATTACCTAAAAGTTTTTGTTTTCTCCTGATTATAGCTTTAACATCTCAAGAGGATTTAGGAAGCCTACAGAAATGTTAATAATGATCTTGAGGATGTTATCAGTTCAGATTTTACAGTTTCACTACCTACTGAGTTAAAATCAGTTTGCCAAAAGCAAATACTCAGAGTGCAAAAATACTTAAGACTTGTTTGTAGTTTTTAGGGCTTTAAAAAGCCTTTGAAAAGCTGAACTGTCGGCTCATTTTGCAAACGGAAAGCTATTTGGAAAAGGAAAAAAAAAAAAAAACTGGGTTCAGAACTACGGCCTGTTAGCTTGCTCTCACTGCAAGTAAACAAAATCAAGAAGTCCCCATTAAGAAGCATCCAGGTCAAAAGGAGTTAATATTTAATTAAAACCAGCTCTATCCACTGTAACAATGACCTGGAGCCAAACAAGACAGAAGATGTATGAGTCATTCTTTCTGCCAGTGAATGAGACAGCTGATCTCCGAAGCAATTCCTCAAGACAAGCAGTCAGAACTGGAGTTCTGCCTCCATTCACAAAAACACAGTCCAGCATGAACCATGTGGCCCCAACCACAAGCTTTTCATGTCACACCCTTCCAGAAAGCTACAGCAAAGTAAACTTGAACTTTAGGCATAAACACACTGATTTCACTGCTTTCTCTCAAGATGCAGCACAGACCTGCTGAGGAACGTTATTTAATAAATGAAAAGTTAAGCGAGCTATAAAGGGCTTAAATTTAACTCTTCCTTCTCCCACTCAGAAACTGCTTCCAAAAGCTTGAGGGCACTCCAGGGAAAGGTGTTCCCGTTAAAAAACGGACACTTTCCAGAAAAACAAGAAACTGCAAACCTCCTTGATTCACTTAAAACTTTATTTTGGGTAGCAGAACACTTCCTGTGGTACTGTGCTCTCTGACCTCACGCTTCACTTTTAGAGTTAAGAGCAATTAGTTTTAAAATATCAATCCATTTATTCAAAGTGGCAGAAGAACTCAAAACTGACAGGAAATTATGTATCAACGGTAGTATTTTGGCTTTAGCTATAGTAAGACTTTGGGCCGCAACATTAACGAGTCTACTGAGTTTTCATTGATTCATTGTCACTTCTGAAAATCTGAAATAGACTGTACAAATTTTAAGTATTCCTGAAAGAGCTAGGGGAGACTGTTGGTTGTTGGTTGTTTATCTTTTCCATGGGAACAACTGTTTCTAACAAAGGAGCATTCAGAAGGCAAAACAGTGACAAATTTCAAGATGGTAAAAAATATTATTGCCCATAGGCACTAGATTTGCTGTCAAAACAACCTGAACTCCTTTTTACATAGTGTGAGATAAACTTAAATACAGTTCAAAACTAGCTCCAGATCTCAGAATTCTTCCATCACCCTAGGAATATGGGTTTGCAGAATCTGCTCTTCATTTGCTGCTATACTAAAAATGGGAAAAAAGTTCACTTGAAAGGAACGCTGACGTTTAACACTTCACTACATCCCCTCACGGTTCACAAACCCCACTACACCTTTGAAAATTATTGAGTAAAAGGCATTTACTTTTACAGCAAACAAGAAGAATGTTAAAAAGTTTATGACTACAGGCTTTCAGACTTGTAGATTTCTTTTGGATTTTTTTTTTTTTAAAGAACACTTCTCCCCCCCTCCAATTTTGCCTAATCTAACCTTGCTCCTTGTTTTGTGCATAGATATTTAAGTTCAAGATTTATGAGTATCTGCAAGCCAAATCTGTCGGATCACTAGAAAACAACAACAAAAAAGTGCTATTCTCTGTATTAGGAATTTTGAAATTAAAATCTTTTAACTGTTTTTTAGAGTGTTTGTCCCCATCATATTTCAGTCATGGAGATGTTAAATTATAATTTCTTGAATATTTTTATAAAAATATAAAAATATGTCTAAATCTTGAATGTGGCTACATTGCATTTGCCTTTCACTAGATCAATTTTACAATCTTTTGGCAGAAGAGAGCTAATTAGCCAGAGTAAGCTGCTACACATCTTCACTGATTTAAACTAAGCCATTCTAACTCATATTTGAAGATCTAGTACTTTCTTTTATTATAATTAATCCTTTGAGAACTAGGAACTACTTCTTTTCATACTTCCTTGTTTAAGCAATAAACTAGAAGTAAACACTAGTTTAGACATCACCATGATGCTGGTGATTCTGTTCTTCATGAATGGAGAACAGAGGGCAGAAACTTACTTCTACTTGGGTATTAATTATTGACAGAAATAACTTACTTTCAGATATAAAGAACAGGCTTTTAAATACTGGTGGCTTGTAGCAGCCATACACTCAACTCAGCTAAGCGGTAGTAGAGGCACGAACCCGTTACCTGTGGCTATTATTTCAAACCACTTACTGTTCACTTAATTAATCTTTCTGTATTTTTTCAAGTCACCTAAAGAGCATTATATTTTATTTTTCAGTTTGTTACCATCTGAGAATCATATTATCTGCTGCTCTAAGAAGGAGATCTAGTGCATAAATTTGTTATTTGTCTTTGCTTCTGATGCTTTTTAAATATCTTTAACAAGCTGTATAAGAAACTAGTATCTGAGAGGGTAATTTAAAATGAAAATCTAGAGTTTTCTTAATCTATTATTCCCCTAAAATCAAATGTTTCACCATGGTATGGAGATACTCACTCACTAAGAATTTGGTTTCTCTTAATTTTATTCCAGAATAAGAAGTAACTGCTATCATGGTGAGATAACATTAGATTAATATTTGAATCATTTTTTTTCAAGTTGCTGAACAATTGCTATCTGCCAAAACCAATCTGATTCCAAATACATGGAATCAATAAAGTGATTTTATAAAATTATAATGAAAAAATGTTGCCATCAAGTTTTTTAAATATAAATCAAAAGATAATAGCTGAATAATATTTGCTTTGGTTAGTGATAGGCAATTTTAACTATTTCCTTTCACGTTTGAAGATTGAAACAATTATTAAAGGCTTCCCGCTTTCAATTCCTGGCATCAGGGAACAGTTATTAATCTGTTTTCTGTCCTGCATAACAACAGACATGAGGGAACCTTATTCAGAGTAAGTTTTACATCAAAATAATTTAGATTCTTTCTTACATAGTTAATACTACACAGAGTAAGAAGCAAAACTCATTTTCATAAAATCTAGTATTCAGCTAGTGTAAGTAGTATTCAGCTTCTCAATTATGGAGTAATAAAATATTAAAGAGGTTACTGAATTGTTTACATTTTGGATTAATTCTTTAGTACATGTGAACCTCCTACCATTTTCAGTAGAGAATACACTTCCGTTTAATTGTTCACCACCAACCTGTCATAGCTGACACTAATTGCAAAAATCTCCCGGCTAAAATACATGATGTAGTAAGGATAGCTTCAGGGAAAGCAAAGCAAAAAGAATCCACAAGCATTTTTTTTGTGCTTCATAAAATGCAACTCGCTTTCTTCTTCTAGCTCATCAGTAGATTTTTGACCTGCTTACTCCCCAGCGGGAATCTGAACTCATGGGAGAAACCTGGTCAGCTGCCACTGGTTTTCTTAAAAAGGGTCAAGATGTTTTAAAATTTCATGGTCATTTCCCTGGCTCCAGATCATTATGAAAAGAAATATGTAAACATTACTGATGCTGCCAAATTGGCAGACTTCTAGCCTATGAAGGTCCAGAAGAACATAAATGGACACATCTAGCAATGGGTAAACAAGTCTGATCTCAAAATCTGTTTCCTGACTAAGCTCACCCATGTAGACATTTGAGCAGAACTACAGTATCTTCAAACTCTGGTATATTATAAAGACTACCAAAAGTTGTTTGGGGTGGATTTGTTTAATAAAAATTTGGGATCCAGTTAATAATTCAGTATTTGATTTTCTCATCTTGACTTTTTTTCAGTTTTAGTTTAGATTACAGAAAAGCTCTGCAAAGTTTCTGTTTCCCATGATGTGGCCTGAAACCCATAGATTTATTAAAGTATTTCTAGAACATTGGAAAATCTGTACTACTTAGTTGCAGTATGTTGTTGAAAAATAGAATTATAATATTATTTAGCTTTATTAACTTCCACTAGAAGAAAAGGCAATTTATTTTTTTTTTTTAGTTTCTAAAGACTTATCAGGTGATGCTACCTGCATTTACAAAGGTTTCTTAACCTTAGCTGACACAGGTTTCTCTCTCAAAATCTATCGAAATTTATTCAGTGAAAGAGACTCAGCTAAAGAGGAAAAAAAGGCTCTCAAACAACTCATTCTACTCTAAAATCAGCAGTGCCTCCAGAATAAAAAACGCCATTACGGTAATTCATATATCTACAGAAATTATTAAATGAGTTTTAAATTCCGTATTATTTTTTAAACTTAGGTTATCTGCACATGCATTATGAATCTGCCTGTATTTTTCTGACTTACGATCAAATAAATTTAATCATTTTTAGGAACAAAACCATCCATGCCAGTGAAAAATCGAACTAATAGGTCTCCTCTCCATAAAAAAAATATTATCTTTTGAGTAGTATTTTAGCAGACTTCTGCCTCTCTAGAATGAATGAGACAATACAAAATAAACATAGATCCTTAGGAAAATTACCACAGGGAGACAGTCACAGTTTTATCTGATCATTATACTACAAAAATGATCTTAGTACAGAACATCCTGATTTCAGTGATTAGGAAAAAATCGTATTCATTCATAAAAATATATTCACTGTTCCATTAATTTAAACATGACTTTTGATTATATACAGAATAAACACATGCTAAAAATAATGCTAGGAAAACAAAAATGTTAGCAAAATAAACAATACCCCACAACTTACAGGTTAAGAAGTTGACTAACCATATATAAAGCTATTAAAATAGAATCAGTATATAGACAAGTAGTCATCATCAGTATTTGCCTCTTTCGATGAAAACCAACAGCAAGCATTTCACCTCACCATCCATCCCTCCTTTCCAAAAAATCAGACCATCTATTCTATAAACAGCTGTGCATACTCCAGTACATGATAAAAATTAAAACATATGTGAATACTCACATTCATTTAAATCAGGATAAATTTAGAGAGGTTATGTTAACTTGCATCACAATCATGTTTATTTCAGATGCAGAAGTTTACATAAAATTTTAACCCAGAAATATTAAGAACAGATAATGCATGAAAATCTTTATGCTTCAAATAAATGATACGGTAAATAGCAAAGGAAAAAAAAAATACAGAAAATATTGCAGAGAACAAATTCACTTCAACAAGCAGAAATCTATCTTGCATTTTGTTAAAGTTCTCTTAATGCAGCAGCTCATTTTCAGTTACTGTAAAATGAATATCTCAAAAGATTTTCTAAATTCATATTTCTACATTATTGATCTTAAACGTTCTCTCTTCAGCAGAATGTACTCTGCAAGATTATCTGAAATACTTAAAAGCACAAGCAGGTGTACAACAGACTGATGTTAGTTTTCTAATCATCCGGTACACAACCTCACAACTACAAATATGAAGACAAAAATAACATGCAAAATATTTAAAGGTTTCTGGGAAAAAAAAAAAAAAAAAAAGAAAAGAAATAGTACTTTTTAAGTATTCCATACACACCTAATGTTCTGTGTTGTGAACAAGGTGGAAAGAAGACACTTGCACTTAAATCTTGAAGCATCCCGTCCCGATGAGCCCAGAGAAACTAATTTCTGCCATCAGAAAAGTACTCCACCAGAACACCAAATAATTACATGTGCTGCTCTAAAGGAAACAGCAAGCCCAGTTCTGGCTGTATGTAGTCTCTCGAGGTACAATAATATAAACCTGATCAATTGCAATTAAAATCTGAACAGAGGCTTAGAACTTGAAGTCTTGGTGCATTAGTTCTTGCCAAAAGCAGATGTGATTGTGAGCTGGAAGCAATTTCTCCTGGTAATTTGTGATGACACTGGGTAGAGCAGCCCCAGAGTCCCCAAAGACAAACTCATCAGAGGCTCTAATGTATGCATGACACATGAGGTGGCTCTTTTAGAGCTCTATTAATTGGGCTGAACATTAAGACAGCAAGTTCAGGACTTTTTTTTTTTTTCCCCCTTTTCCCTCCAGAGTTGTTTTTCCTCTTTTTACAAGCAGTTTTTTCCCTTACCTTCTGCAAGCCATGTCTCCTGTAATTGGCTCAGATCTTGAAAGAGTTCTGTAGAAAGATGAAGACATGGATAGAAAACTCACACCTTTAATCTCTTCAAAAGGTTAAAATATGCTCAAAAATTTATTTTTCCTGAAGAACAATATAAGTGAATTCTAATCCGGCAGTCAAACATACAGACAAATTAGATATTTCTGGGTTGCAGTTAATTATTTTTCTACACCTATTAATAAAACAGAAGTACTTACTGTATTATTTTATCAAGTCTTGAAATAATAACCAGAATCTTAACCGAGTTCTGTACTATAAAAAGCTCATTCAGCAATACATAAAGTTAAAAATTATAATCTCTCCTACAATTGAACTACTTCTCCTTATGTAATTCGGGCCTCCTCCTGGAATATCTGTTCTCTCAGACTTCAACGGGAGTTCTGCCTGAGCAATAACAGAGTTATTTTATTAGTAAAGTCCTTAACTATCACATAAAGAGTTTGGAGTAAAGACCTGAGGTGCTGCAAGAGCTAACAGAAATGGGAAATCTTTTGTAATTCCCCTCGTGTTTTACTTTGTATGACAGGGAATCATCAGTATTTCCTCCATGCTGTACTCACTGTAGGTCTTTAAAGTGAAACCACTTTCTCCATGGACTGAGTTTTGCAGCAACTTATCTTTCTTTGAAATTCACTGAAATCAACTGATTGCTTAGAAGGGCTGCAAACCAGAGCAGCATTTGGTTTACTTGCAAAGCTCAGAAATTTAGTTATGAAAATTCCATTTACTAAGTAGGATATTTGAACTAACAAATGGTTTATTTTTGATTTGCTGTATTTTGAGAGAGACTTCCTCTTTTATGAATGCTGACAGATAACTATTTACATACACTTAAGTGACAGAAGCTATTAATTTATCCCGTGGACTAATACCTCATGTTTGTGTTGGGAAACCATTTCACTGGAAATCAGAAAGTTGTTTTCTTTTAAATCCACCCTAGAATAAACTTTTCCAAACAAGTTAAGTAGGGGTTTTTAAAAGTATCAATGTGTCCTCGCCCTGATAAGATTTATTTAGGGGTAAATTGTAGGCCCCGATATACCTTTCTATATGTCTTTCTTACAAGGCTGTAGGCATAACATATATACTGACCTTGTAACCTAAAGAAGTATTAACAGTTATTACTACGCTACAAAGAAAATTTCTCAAGCTACAAACATGTGAGGGCTACTGATGGGACTAAGTTACAAATTTTTTGCCCTTCAAAACTTCATCCACTCCAGACCTTCTTAACCAAACTTCCCAGGATTTTTAACCCTTCCAGTGTTAAACAGCAACAGAAGCAGGCTACCAGACCCCAGGAACCTGGTGTACACAGTAAAGCCAGAGTGGAAACCAAGTGTCTCCACAACAGCATTCTTGCTCCAGCTACCACCAGTGAACAGGTTATTTAAAAGTGTGAGGAATGAAGAAAGCCTTGAATCTCAGGAGGCCTGAAGGTGAAAAAGCCAGGTGCTGTGACTGTGTCAGATGCTGCAAAGGCTTGGCCTCAATGCATAACATCCATGTGCCACACAGAAGTACAGCAGTATCTAAAATGCAACAGGGTAAGTCAAGGAAAGAATATCAACTTTATCAGTTTATTGCCTTTGCCAGTTTGTTTTGCAGCAGTAAATGCAATTTTCTTGTCTTGTTTATTCAGATTGACCTAGATATATTTATCTCCAAAATAAATAAATAAATAACTCTTAAAAAAGCTTCTCTGCGTTAGTAAGTGGGGGGGAAGAAGGGGCAGGCGATGGGGGGGAGGGGAGAGGGGAACAAGCCCTCACCTTCTGAATCATGAGCCAGGTCTCTGTTAATGAATTTTCTTTTCCTGACATTTGTCGGTCTCTCATTACAGTTTCTCCCACGCGGATTCTATAAACAGGAAAGATCAGTTACTTCAGAAATCTGAGGGGTTTGGGGTTGGTGTTTTGTGTTTGGTTTTTTTTTTTTCATTTAATGAGGAATACTCAAAGCTGGCATGAATTCTTCACATTTTCAAACAGGGAAATTATAGTCTTCCAGCCTCCAATTTCTAGCAAAAGATTCTGCCAAGCCCCTAACACCCTCCACAAGATTCCTCTGTCTAAATACAACACATTTTTATCTATGTAGACAGCTATTTGTACAGATACATATATAATGTATTCAAGCAGCAACACAATACTAACTATGTATTTTTAGCATCTAAAGTACACAAACCTACACAATAGCACATAAATCCCCTCTGTGTAAGCCACACAGGACAACCCAGATACGAGATTATAATGGACTGCTCTATTTCCCTGTGTTACTTATAACGTTGTTTGCAAAGTCCTGAAAGGGGAAAAAACCCAAACCAAACCAAACCAAACCAAACCAAACCAAACCAAACCAAACCAAACCAAACCAAACCAAACAAAACAACAACAACAAAAAAAAACCAAACCAAAAAAAAAAAAAAAAAAAAAAACAGGAATAAAAATATTAACGTTTGCCTCAACTTCATTCTTCTGAGAGTTGCAGGCAAACGCAGCCAGAAACTTTGAACGCAGCTGCTGCTGCTTTTGCTCCTCATCCACTAATCATGTGCATGACTTTTTAATCGTCCCAGAACTGTCTTTAAAAGAACGTGATGCTTTATTGAAATAACTACGAAGATAAGCTGATCCTGCAGGCAAGGCTCCCAGATGAAGAGTCGCCCCTACAGCGGCAACAAAGTAGATAACTCTTGTCTGCAAAACTCCCCCACAGAATTAAGTCGGAGTCAAGTTTATAAACACCAACTTTGAACCGATCACTCACGTTGGTGACCATGTAAGGCACTTGCTGGTCATAAAATCCATCCATTCTGCAGCTCTTCCACAAGTCTTAGCTCAGTGTTTTATTTACTGGACATTTGATCTGGAGATTTCCTCGGGATCTGGACTCCAATCAGCCTGGAGGGGAACACAAGATGGCTTTTAGATAAAAAAAATGCTAGGAAAGGCTTAACACCAAAGCTAAAGAAAAAAAAAAAAAAAAAAAAAAAAAAAAAAAAAAAAAAAAGCGCATGAATGAACTGCTTGAATTTGCATAGCTAATTAACCTCAAAGAGTCTCATTCACAAAAACAACCCTCCCTTCTCTGCCTTCACCTGGGTTACGCGCTTATGCCAGGAAAACACGGAGCAAAAGCACTTCGAGGCGGCGGCGGCAGCAGCGAGGCGAGAGGCAGGCGTTTATTTACAGTCCTCGCCGTGTCCCCCGGGCGATCCGCGCAAGTGGCAGCCCCGGCTCTCACAAACGTGAGCTCAACTCGTAATGGCGAACGGCGGGGCCGGCCGCGCACCTCACGGCG